GAAGCGTATTTTGCTGATTAATCTGATGGACGAGTAGCGTGTTTGGTATTCTCTGCGTGAATTAATGACGTGTGTACGCCCAAGAGATATCACGGCTATACGAGATGATTAGATGTCGAATGCGCGGCGTGTCCGTTGCGGGGAATACTCACCGACGCTCTCCGACGCGGTCATCGCCTGCAGCATCTTGAAGGACCTCGAGGGAATCGCGCTGCCCATGTACTTCTTTGGCTCCGGGACCTGTTGCTCGCTCGGCGGCAGGTTCGCCTGCATTTCCTCTGCGAATTTTCCAAATCCAATGACTTCCCGGCGCTCGATTAGATGGAAATTTTACGAGTTCTTCGAATTCAATTACATGCAAATCTGATCATTCCCGAGATTTATAAGAATTCAATTGTTTGCAAATCTATCGAGCCTATCTTTTATTGCTTTCTTACTAATTAGTTTCTTTTTTGCGAATCAGTTTCGAGTTCTGAAGCATTGTTACTTAGGTTAGCGTAAGAACTGATTGCTCACCAAATGATTTCGAATTCCTATTCTGTCTCTTGTTGATGGCGGTTTGTTGTCGTGGCGCTGCAATATATGGATTGAGTCGAAAATATAATATTTCCTTAAAAGTTCCCGAGGGGTATATTAAGCTTTGTCGAATTGCACTTCAGAAGCTGAGGATTCATTGAAAATTGGTTTAGAAACTCACTCGCAGACGTAACGACGGGCACATCGCCGGAGTCAGTCATCGTTTGCAAGTAACGGAACATTCGAGATGGTATTGCCGAGCCGCGGTATCTTGGATCTTCCTCGTAGTGGAGGGTGTTTTCATTGTCAACTGCAGGAACAGATGATGCATCGTAATTAAACGGTCGAAGAGGTGTCTAGAGTGAATGAACTCGTTAGAACACTGTACCTTGCTCTTTGAATTTGTTCATCAGAACCCTGTCGTCGTCTACCAACTGAAGTTTACGAAGTTGTTCCTGATCGATGTCGTTCGTCGAGTCTGTGTCGGTGATCTTCTGGAGGACGCGGAACGATCGTGACTGAACCGGCCCTGAATCTGATTGGACGGTTTGAATTGGTCCACGTTGCGGTATCCTGTGTCGAACATTAAGCTCTTTTAATCCAGTAATTTGACACTATTTCTATCGGTGTCGAAGGAAATTTAAAAATTGAAATTTTCATAAAATTATTTTCCCAATCATTTTTCCTTAACTCAATTTTGGACATTTCCTATACTCAATTTTGTAATCGTTATTGGAGACGTCCAAAAATTCAAAATATACTAAACTTGGAAAATAATTTAAATCTGAAAAGGTTTCTTGACACCTTCGGTAGAAATAGTAACACTAAAACTATCAGGTTAAAATGATCCATTCTTGATTGTTTCTTTGACAATTATTAAAAACAACAGATAATTCTCTGAGAAATTACTACAGAAACTGATTCAACAATAGACAAACTATAAATCAGTAGAAATCTCAATAGTAGCACTGTCGGAGTTTCTACAGGAAAATTTCAATAAGTCAATTTGATTGTTCGGTAGATCAATCGTTAATAATCATGCAACCTGCTTTAAACTTTGTCCATCTTCGTGACCTAGGAATTCAACTATTTATCAAGTAGCTATCATGTATAGACTCTTCATATTTTTATTCTACAAAGAACGAACGAATGATCTTCTAACATGAAGGTACAACAAAAGGTTAACACAGTCGATTGTCTGCCATCGATGATTATACTACAAATGCGAAGTTTACGTACTAAACTCTGTTGCATAATCAACTTACACTTTGACGGTCTGGTTGTCAGCACTCTGTACATTGTTCCTGACGATCATAGCAGGTTGCGAGTACGAAGAATTAGCTACAGGTCCTCCTACAGGCTTCTTCTCGCTACCTTCCACCATAATGGGTATGATATAACCACCACCTGTCGAGGGCGCAGGTTGAGGAGTAGTCGGCTGCTTTGGCACCTGATTCTGCGCTTGGTTCTGACTCGGTTGCTGTCCCCATCGCTGCTGATGATGAGGACTCGGTTGCTTGAACTGATGGTGACCTGGCTCGCGTTTCACGTCGAACACGGACGGCCTATCCTCGATCTGCGCCGATCGCCATCAAGAAATCGAATATAGAAAATGTGACATTTTATAGGAGATCAGAACTAAAAACGGTTTTCCTAGAATTTCTTGGTGATTTTCTGGGTAAGCTATTAACGAGAACCAAGATGGCGGACAAGTCTACTCACGCGGATCGGTATCACGCGTTCCTGCGTGTTCGCCTGTGGACTAGCTTGCTGTGACATCTGGGGACTAGAGTACGGGCGTTTCTGTTGCTGCTGAGCCAACATCTGAGGCTGCTGGTTATACTGCGGCTGCTGCGACACCGGCCTCTGCTGAGTCGGCTGCCATTGCGGCGACGGCGGCTGCGCCTGTTGCTGAATCGGCGGCGTGTACGCCGGAGGAGACACCGGACTTTCCGGCGACGAGCTCTGCTTGTTCATGCTCGGGCGTTTCGCCCATTCCGGAAGTTCCTCCTGCGGCTTGTTCTTGTTCTGTAGCCAGGGCGTCGGAGCTTTGGTCAGCGTCACCTGCGTCGGCGTGCTGGGACTCTCCGGGCTGCCCGGCTGGACGGATGTCGTCACCAACGGTGTCATTTTTGTCTCGATTTTCGTCACCGGCTTCACTACTTCTGGCTGCTTTTCTGGGACTGAGGTTTTGTTAACGGTTAGACCTTGTCTCGGTTGCAAGTGAAGGGAAGTATCTTAATCCTTGTAACTACTGATCATCTAAGCGACTATAATTGATGCGATTCCTCTGCTATCGACAGATTTCCTTATGCATCACTTTCTAATGAAATATCACTGATACTTTTCAGAATTAGCCGACTTCAATTTTCCATCTGTTAATGGATTCTACAATATTGAATGTTCAATCTTACAATCTTGCAATTGGCAGATTTCATTAGAACGTAAAACGGAAACTGAAAATAATCTATTGTTACAATTTTAAAATATCTATAGTTTTATATAGAAAACTATAGAAAACTATATAAAACTATATTAAACTATAAAAGTAGCCGTACCGATCAGAGTTGAAAAAGAAATCATAGGCCAAGGGTTTAAAGATCACTCACCATTCGAAGGGATCCTATTAGCAGGCGGTGTGGTTGGTGTCTTGTTAGCAGTTGGTGTCGGCGGTGTCCTATTAGCTGGTGGCGTGGGCGGTGTCCTGTTCGCTGGGGTTTGCACTGGGATATTCGTTGGGAAGACTGGTATCGCTACTTGGGGCTGAATAAACAAGTTTGCCGTGGCGTTAGGCGGCGGAGTAGGTTTCGGCTCGAGCGCAGACTTCGGCGGACCCTCGATGCCCTCGTCGTTCGCGTTCTTCGCCACTCTGCGGGCCATTCGCGGGCTCCGTATCTGCGACAGGTCCAATTTCCCGCCCATTCCCGGCGTGTACGTGAAAGGCTTTTTGTCCTTCGTCAGCATTGCGTTCTGAATGGCGGCCGGTGGCTCGTAGCCGTCGTTAACTATCTGCGGCCTTCTTATCGTCGGCGGCTAGATTGAAAAGAAGAAATTTCTTCGGTGAGAATTCACTCGGCGAGATTCTCGTTTGCTGATTACGTTGCAACAATTTTGATGAACTCGGAATTCTCGTGACGTTCAGTCCAGTGCTGACGTATTAAGTTGCAGATTTTTACGAAGTTGGAATTCTGATGAACTTCGGTTTACTATGGACGTATTAGGTTGCAGCAATTTTGTAAAATTTGAATTTGATGGACTGTTTATTTCTGAGGCGTTAGTTGCTACGATTTTGTAAAATTGAAATTCTGATGGATTCCAGTTTATTTCTGAGGTGTTAGTTGCAGCAATTTTATAAAATTTGAATTCTGATGAACTCCAGTTTATTTCTGTGGTGTTAGTTGCTACGATTTTATAAAATTGGAATTCCGAAGAACTTCAGCTTATCGCCGACGTATTAGGTTGCAACGACTCCGACAAAGTAGATTACAAACGTCCGTGAGTGACTAAGTACTCGCAGTTTACTGGACTAGAACGAAACAATAGACAACAAGAGGATAACTGCCTAAAATGTAGAAGGCAAGGACTGTTTCTGTTTATCTCTACAAGTGCGCCCGAAGCAAACACGCGGCACTAGAGCTACGTCTATCAGTCAAGGCTCCCCGACTAACATGGTTAATAGTATGCAGAAGAATTTCGCCGTCGTCGTTCCTCCTTATCTCTCAAGGCTGCCAGTTAGCGATTGGTAAATGAAACTGGATTTACTTTGAACAGCCGGCAAATTCTCCGCCTCGCGTTCATTCAATACATTCAACGTGCAACTCGATATTCCTCCGACAAACTATCCAATCGACCGAAACCTTTCTCTAAAAAGAAACAAACATTCAATCAAACGAACCCCAAACTTCAATCCCACATTGCTTACCATCTCAAACTTCGATTCACGACGAAAGTCAAAAAGCTACTCCATTTCGATTATCGTGAATACTCTCGAATTCGGTTATTCGGATTCGCAAAGCTGAATCACTGAGGAAGCGCACGTTCACAAAGAGCCTCGGAATAATCCTCTCGCTTCTCGCCTGTTTACTCAAGCCTCGTTTTCACACGAATGTTTTCAACTTCACGGCGCGATCCTGTGAACGCCGATCTTTCAGCCGGCGGAACAAAGACGTCGAACGATCACGCGACGGACACGCGTGTTTCCCGTTCCTGTTTACACGCGCGTCGTTTCTGTCGCGTCGAGGAACGACGGTTCGCGCGCGACGAGTCACGAAGGTAAACTGACGAGGCTGGGCTTACCTCTACGGTGTTGATCCTCATGGCCGGCACCTGGCCGGGCACCGGAGGCGGCGGCGGCGGCGGAGGTGGCGCGGGACAAAGTCCTGGAACGATTAGCGATTTAGTGGAATGCTAACGAGGGGTCCAGCTATATGTCGTAGCCGCTCTGCGGTTTAATGGGAACCGGCCTCCGATAAAACGGACAACTGATTAGGGCAGCGGTTTCCAACTTTTATGCTACTACGTCCGCTTAACACACTATCGGCGGGTAACATCAGCTTGATTCGCGCGTATAGCCGGCGAAAATTAGCGAAGTATGAGAAAAGTGCACAGAATTCAATGAAATTTGTGAAATAGGTATCACATGGTATAAGATGTAGATGAAATTTAATTTAATTTAGGTGGCCGACTGAGTGTTAACGCTAAAACTACCAAGTAGTTCAATTGATTTTTGAAAATTTTGTACCTGTCACTGGACCGTCCGAGTTCCTGCAACAAACAAACAAACACATTTCCTTACTTACACTGAATTAGATTCAAACACGTGGTATAAACTAACATTACTTTAACGTTAAAATAATCCGTTCCTATGCCTTCCCTCTGCAATTATTAAAAAGATACACATTCCTCCAAATTCCTACAAAGCTTCAAAGCTTCAAAGTTTCAAAGCTTCAAAGCTTCAAAGTTTCAAAGTTTCAAAGTTTCAAAGTTTCAAAGTTTCAAAGTTTCAAAGTTTCAAAGTTTCAAAGTTTGAAAATTTGCAAGTTGGAAAGATTGAAAGTTTGAGAGTTTGAAAGTTTCAATGTTTCAAAGTTTTAAAACTTGCAAGTTGGAAAGATTGAAAGTTTGAGAGTTTCAAAGTTTTAAAGTTTCAAAGTTTGAAAATTTGCAAGTTGGAAAGATTGAAAGTTTGAATGTTTGGAAGTTGGAAAGTTTGAAAGTTTGAAAGTTTGAACATTTCAAGTTCCAAAGTTTAAAAGTTTGAATGTTTGGAAGTTGGAAAGATTGAAAGTTTGAAAATTTGCAAGTTGGAAAGATCGAAAGTTTGAATGTTTGGAAGTTGGAAAGTTTGAAAGTTTGAAAGTTTGAACATTTGCAAGTTCCAAAGTTTAAAAGTTTGAATGTTTGTAAGTTGAAAGATTGAAAGTTAGAATATTTGAAAGTTTGAAAGTTTCTCTATCATTTTTCTGCGTTTAATCAAATGGCAACTAAGAGTCGCCTCTCGAAAGGGTTAAATAAACCCTAACCCCATTAATTCCTTTCGCAATGAAAGACCATCGACAATCAATATAAATTCTCTATTTCCAGTAAAATCAGAAGTCTCTTCCAATAGATCATCGATAATAAAACAATCCCGACGGAAAAAGGTTCAAAGGGCGTCGACGGAACGCGCGTAGACCGATGTCGCTTGATATCGCGCGCGATTCGGTGTCGCCGCCTTGAAGCCCGACCGAAACGCATTCCTTGCTTATCTGCGGAACGCGTTGACTCACGGTGGTTGCGCTCGGTATCGGTATTTTAGTGCGGCTACGTGGAACCGCGGAACGGTCCGTGTTTCTGCGCGGGGCCGCTGTCGAAACACAGTCATTTCGATGACTTTACGATTGCGTCGCGCCGCCCCGGCCCCGCGCGTTCCAATTAAACCGGCGAGGACGTAACTCTTTTCGACGCCGGGACGAGCTGCGCGGATTCTCACCGTCCACCGGGATCGGACGCGAACCTCGCCGACCTTTTTATTGAACCCCGAGACATCGTCGGCTGGTATTTATAGCGCTCGCCACTGGAAATATTTATTGTGTCAATCGGATATTTAACATTATTTGACCCCTCGCGTTCGGAAATGTTTCCCCTCCTCTGCGGGTATCCATCGTTTTCTGATGGATCATCGATGATACTGCCTCACGGTTGACACGGGACAATTGAATAGAGTCTATTGTTGATGGATCGCGAGAAGTTTGATGTCTCTCGGACTTTGTCACTTTGTTTGGTTCTGTCGATTGGAAGGGTTTGATCGGTTGCTTCTTTCATTGTTACACTAGGTTTACGGAACGCGTCAAACTGACGCATATTGGATCTTAGAAATGTTATTTTTAAATATTTACGCTGATTTTGATTGATGCCAGTTTCCACAATCTAAACAAAGTTTAGGAATAATAGAATGAAGTGTAATAAATGCCCGTAAACCAAGTGTTAAAACTAGAAACAATGATGGTAATTGGTATTGTTTGATTATTTATACGATTTCTCGTCGATGCTTCGAGAAAAAGAGGGTTATGTAAGAGGATCGGATCAAACGAATCGTGATTTGATTTTATTAAGGATACTGCTGTGATGAATGATTTTTTAAATTGTAAACGAGGTGTTCCAAGGAGCATGATTTACTATTGATTTACACGAGGCACGGTAGCTGCCGGCGATCGTCGTGTTTAAGCTGCATTTGGAGTTATCAAGGAACGAGCCTCGAATGGTAACCTAAATCGTCACGACCGCGAGTTATCTCGCGATGACTCGCTCCCGCTTCATTACCTAATCCCTTTTAAGGAAGCCCACTGCCCGTCGGAAGGCTGCCCCGCTTAATTACCTAGGAAATCACCGCTCGTAACCCGGTGCTGATGAATTGGCCCTCGTATCGGTTAATCAGGACCATTCGGGCCGTTTTTCAAGATTCTATTCGGAGACGTGAATCACGGCTGACATACAGTGGCGTCCGAAAGTTCCTGGTCAGATCGTTTTCGATGAGTTTAACACTTTGACTGCCACGTCACCCGAATTCGGATGACACCATTTTTTACATAAACTAAAACATTAATTTTCTCGGTGACGTTTCGAACGAACCGAATTTTGTTGCACGCAACAGAGCAGTCGTTACAAAGAATCTTGACTTCTCAGTTTCCACTTTATTAAGAAAATTATTTTCACCGCATAGGTGTTCCGATGAGTGTTTATTTGGCAGTCAACGTGTTAAAGGAATTTCTGTTGACACTGGTTAATACGTTTATTGAGTTTTCAATTTTTTTGTGTTCTAGTTTGTGTTTATCTAAATCAATTTGAAAATGATCTGGCCGCGAACTTTTGAACGGCACTGTACAACAGTTGATAAAATAGTGCGCAATATATTAACCCTTTGCACTCGAGAGGTGATTCTCAGTTATACGATTTGATATACCAAAATCATAAAGTCACATATAATATTAAGCTTCTTATAATTTACGAATATCTGAGACATTGAAATAATAACTTTGTTTCTTAATTGGAAACTGTTGAATATTATTAGAAAAATCTTCCGAGTGCAATACGTTAATTCTATTAGTCATCATCGAAGCCAGTATATATATTTATATGCACGATATCCGTTAATGTCGATAAAACATTGTGAACTTTGAAAAATCTCTCAAAGCGAAGCAACTGTCTAAACAAATTACTTCAAACTGATACGAAAAGTGTTAGGTAACGATAACGAACGCAAGAGGAAGAAGGTATAAATTATTTTCGGTGGATCCGTCGTAAATTTTGTATTCATTGGCCAGTGTCTGACGGATTATCGCTGGTCGAGGATGTCAAGAGACATCAGGATCGATTCCACGTGTCAAAACATTGGAAGGAGTTCAAGACGCCACGGACTTTTTCAATTTTATTTTTGAAGTTCGGCGTCTTAGCGTCCATTGGGGGGACGATGGGCAAGAAGATGAGCTTATCGGACGCACCGGGTGGTCCAGTAGCTATTGTCATCTAAATGACTCCGAAACTCGGCGAGTCGGATTGTCGTTTTCATAAAATCCACTCTTGCACCTTAATAACGTGCACATGTTTTAATTTGGAACGAAGGTGACCTTGATATTCACAGGAATTTCTCATAATATTGGTAACAATGCTTTGTTCACTTCTTTAATTGTTATTGTAACCGACTAATTTAAGAGATCCTTCAACGATAATATTGACGCAATACCGGTTGCTTATTTTCTGGGATAAATCTTCCTGCACCGTACCAATACGACCGGAGACATTTTCTGTTCGATCCAAGGTTTATTTAGGTTTCTATTCCCTCGTGTTACTAAATTACGTTGAAAATATCATCTGTCATCGATGTTGATAGTCAGAAATAAAGAATTCTGTTTCCAGCTTCTTAATTGTCTTCCAGAGACCGAGTATTTCCGTTCGCGTGAATATTCGCCGACGCAGCTCGCCGCGTTTTCAATGGCGCGCGGGTCCGTCCGTGACACGAAAAGTGGCCAGGAGTTATTTCACTGATGAAACGGCGTTTAGTTGCGATTGTGATGATCCGCTATTTAAAGAGCCGATATTTTTATAACGGTTTCAAGGAGCAACCGGCTACTGCTATCTACTTAATATTGATGAGACTTCTATTTTCGCTTGCCACTGTTGGGTGATTGAACCTTTTCCTTGTAAAATGGAAATGAGATTAATCTTCTTTGGTTCGAATATTAGGAAAACAATTGAGAAACGCGTGTTGTTTATAGAATCGGTATAGTTGATACAGTTGAACGATTGAATGGCTAGCACCTTCCCCGCGACGACAAAACACGGGAATCATGTGAAACTCTTGCAATCAAATTTAATGAAATTGCAAAATTCTTGCGCCACGAACTTTATTACATCTGTTATGGTAAAATTGAAATTTTGTGTAACACTCTTGCTTATTATAGTAAAGTAGAAATGTTCCATAACATTGCTATCTATTATAATACAGTGAGAATCTATAATACTGTTGTTATTGTAATAAAGTGAAAATTGAGAATCGTCTATTACACTAGAGTTACAATTTTGTAAACTTTGAAACCTTGAAACTTTGAAATTTTGAAACTCTCAAACTTTCAAACTTTCAATCTTTCAATCTTTCAATCTTTCCAACTTGCAAATCTTCAAATTTTGAAACTTTGAAACTTTCAAACTCTCAAACTTTGAAACTTTGAAACTTTGAAACTCTCAAACTTTGAAACTTTCAAACTTTCAATCTTTCCAACTTGCAAATTTTCAAATTTTGAAACTTT